CATATATATATATATATGACACAATCTCTGGTTCTGTCCCCGCTAATAGTGCAAACATCCGGGGACATTATAAACCTCTCCATTTCTTCCACATCTTTCCTCCCTCCCTTTTTTCAAATCTTAGGAAGGTGTTTCAGCTCTGTTCTTCCTTCTAAAGCACCCTCAAGGCAATTGCAGACTCGCTAGTGTTCTTCCTACAGGATTGCAAACGCCCCCATTCCAGATCTCTGAATCTGGAATCTTGTCATAACTTGAGCCTGTCTTCCCAGAGGGAGCCGCGGGTGAAAAATATTCATTGGGCTCGTTTTTCGGGAACAGCTCCCAGGCTTAATCCTGGGTTTGAGGCAAAGCCTCTCCAGATTCTCGACATCTTCTGCGACCTAAGTTGGCTCTTAACTGTTGCACAAATGCTCTTAAAATGTGTCTTTAACCCTGCTGTGTAGGACGAGGCCTTCGCCTTGTGGGTCGAGCAGTGGGCCAAGCTCTACGAAGAGGAGTCGCCCTCCCGCATGATTATCCAGTACATTCACGACAACTACTTCTTGGTCAACCTAGTGGACAACGATTTCCCCCTGGACAGTTGCCTGTGGCAGGTTTTGGAGGACACCTACGAGCAGTTGAACAGTCCAGAAGAACAGAGAAGCTCCTCCCACGTTTGAGACGGGACCCCCAAACCTTTCCCCTTCCTCAAGATGAACGGCAGCTAACGGCCCAGCAGAAGCCTCCTTCTGATCTTTCCACTTATTTTTTGGGTGACCAGCACTCTAAACCCTGTGAAAGCAGCCGCTTCACACAAGGCCCTGCTTAGGGGGCTCACAACGGCCAGCTTGGCTGAGACCTGCAACCGACTCCCGGTTTTAGCTCACCGTGTCCCCCCCCACCCTCTATTTATTTTGACTTTCTAAGAGGCAGACCTCGAGTTTCACTTTCTCGTTTTGTCTGGGGAAAGGGGGCCAGCCAGTTAAACCCTTGTAAAGCAATGAACGATGAAATAAAATGACTCACCCGTAGCGTCCCCAGGCGTGGCGTCAGGAGGGGGAGCAGAACGGCCTCTTCCAGAGCAGCGTGGGGTCTCCAGTGCAGGAAAACGCCTTTAGCCAAGCAAATCCTTGCACGCACGCACACACATAGCTGTCTCCCACCTCTTTGCATTTGCAAATGGCCAGGATTCAAACCCTCTGCCTGGACAACCGGGACCTTTGCGTTTTGCTCTCAACTCTTGGAGGGAGTACTCCAAACCTGTGCAATCAGTAGCAAGGGAGCGATGGGAACCGTAATCCCACAACAATGAGAAATCCTCTGGTCGGTCCTCGGCCGCACGCAGCCCCGGGCTCCTGCGTTTCCAACCCGGCGGCTCAGCTAAGAGACCTCAGCTGGGGAGGGGGGTGCAAATGGTTGTGTAAAGGTGAGACTGTTTGTCCTGCCTCCGCTCAGGAGTAAGTTGGTAGGCGTGAAAACAAAGGGGTTATACCTAACCGGTCCGGGAAATTTGCTGAAGGCGGGTTCATCGCAAAACTGGGGGGTTCAAGATGCAACAGAACCGCGCAGTTCTCAGCCTGTTTTCAGGTTGAAAAACAGGCTGCGAGAGACGCCCTGTTGCAGAAGGGAACAAGCCAGGTTCAATACATAATCAGTGTCTTCCCTGGAATTATGCTTGGCCTCTAGCGTCGCGCCACGTTCCCTCCTTGCCCTCAAATTCCTATCAACTCGTCCTGTTTTCTTAGGGCCGTTACCATTCTCCTTTGAGACTGCTGCTGACCCCTTCCCCAACAGAGGACAAAATAAAGCTTTATTTTATAAGGGCCTCTCCCTCCTCCTCTTGCGTAACTCAAAGCTGAGATTCTCAGCCTGTCCCTGGCCTCCCCGTCGGCCTCGGGGGACAACGGTCACCGTGCAGACCCCGATGCCCGGGAGGTTTTGCTCGGGCTTGGAAAATCAAAAGGTGCAGTCCCCGTCTGTCTGAACGGTCCCGCAGGAAAGGGCTGATGTGAGCTTAATCCTAGATGAGTGTTTGCAGAGGGGGCTGGTGAACACAGGAAAGTCCCTTGAGAGGGAAGGGGGGATGTCTGGGGGGTCTGCAGAGGGGGAAGAGAAGACTCCCCGCCCCACCAAGCATTGAATGAAGACCTGATCGGCTTTAGCGTGGATGAGTAGAAAAGGATTCTAGTTGCAAGGACATTAAATACAGCCTGACTTATCCTCTGAAGGAGGATCTGCTCCCCGCAAAGTGGTTTTCCTGAACTTCTGCATGAGGAAGGGCTCACGTTGCAGCAAGGAAGAGACCATCAAGGGGCTTGAATTTTAATGATCATCTGAAAACAAGCAAGCCCAGTTTGTCCTGGCCGTGGCTCAATTCTTCGGCCGCTTCCCCCCTTCCAAAATGTGGCCACCGGATACAAATCGGTGCCAACGGAGTGCAAAGTCCAGTTTTTTCGCGCCTGCCTGTCCCGCGGCAGGTTAAAAAAAGCGGTGGCAGGGGAGATCCAGACCGGCATTTACTCAATCTGGGCACAGGAGGCGGCCGCCAGCCGACACCACTTTCCAAACGCCTGCAAAGAGACCGGGCGGGTTGGCAGGATAGCCGGGTGCCCTGCGGCTGCCCGCCAACCCTTTCCACGGGGGGCCTTGGCACAACCCAACCGTAAAGGAAAAGGTCAGGGGGTGGGGAAGGGGGGTGCCAATGCCCCCCACCCCTCCAAGCATCCTTCTTACTGTTTTGAGCAACTGTTCCTCTTCAGCCTCCTGGAAACGCCGGGCCACCTGAAGCTGTAGGCGACGCCGCCTCCATATCTTCCAGCCCCATTGCGCCCGTCTCTGCCAACTCTGCGGGAGGAAGGATGGCAAAGATAAGACACCCCCATTCAGAAACAGATTTGCTACCTAGCACGAGCACCAATTTCTTCTGATCAAGTGCTGCTATCTTAACCATCCTCCCGCCACCGTGCTGCAAATAAGGTCCCCCCCCCCTTTTTATGGAGTTCATATGGACTAGAAACTTCATGGCACTTAAAACAAAGGGTCCCGGTCCTGCAGGCAGATGCAAAGAACAGTCCTGGAGGGTGTGGCAAGAACCGGGCAACACGCTCACCAACGCTTGCACCACCCGCTTGGTTCTGCAGGCGCCTTTCCAAAGCTGCCAGGCCTTCGCCAGCTGCCGCGCGTCCCGGGCCTCCTGGAACCGGTGCAGCCGGACTCGGTGTCTCCACAGCCTCCCACACTTGCTCCTGGAAGCGGGGCCAAGAGGCAGAGGAGTCAGGCACGCAGGGAGGCACGCATCTCCCTGCACCAGAGTTGACCAGCACAGAGAAAAGCAAGATTCCTTCTGCCAGGCGAGCAACGTGGCTTAGGGGGACTGTGGGCCACCCCCAGGCCACTATGCCCCCATCCTAGGAAATCCCTTAACCTGTTCTGTTTTCGTTTGGCTCATGAGGGCTAGAAACTTGAGGGGTGCCAATGTGGAGAGGCAATACCTATTGGATTTTCTTTGGAAAACCTTTGGGCCCCCAAAGAGCCACGGTTCCTCTTTTGGGAGGTGCTGCCTGTCATACCTCATACAGCATGGCCCCCCAACTTCCAAGAGAGACCCAAACTCTGCTCTTCCTCTGCTTTTGGAGAGGAGGAGGGAATAAAAGAGCACAGGGAACGGAAGGTGCTTCCAGGAGCAGGTTGGGGAAGCCGATCGCCGCCGAACCCAGCCATCTTTCGCGATGGAAACGCCAGATTCCCAAACGGAGGGACTTACGCTGCCCGCCAGTTAAGCCGAAGAGGAGAGCCCTGGGCCGGGAACTGGTCGGCAACGTGGGTAGGATTTTCATGGTTGGAGTCGCATCTCGGGCAGCGAGGGCCGGGAGGGAGGAGGACGCTGGGGTCTTCGACAGTCACCAGGGAAGACAGGCTGATGAGGCTGGGCTCTACCAGTTGGATCTCCTGCAAAGAAAGGACACACCTTAACCCAGAAGCCAGCCTGGACAGCCAGCATCGCTCCTGAAAAGCGTGTTTCCGCCTGGAAAGTAACCGAGCATCAGTGCTGCGGACGCCCTTTACCGAATCCACGCCCCACGCACACGTGCAAAGCGTGTCACTGCTACACCCCACACAAACATCGCCATCTCCCGCAGGGTGCCGGCCCTGGGGTCCCACGCATCCCCGCCGGGGAGGCTTCCTTGCCTTTTCCCGCGAGCTGCTGGCGCTGGCCAAGCCAGAGGAGAAGGAAGACTCTCGAGAACCCGGCGACGCAAGGAGAGAGCCCTCAGCGAGCCCAGGAGGATTCAGACCCCTCCAGCGCCACCTTTGCAGAGCCTCCCGCAGCTGCCGCAGGGCCAACCCTCGACAGAAAGCGCTGCAGAGAAAAGAGGTGGCGGGCCTCCATGAGGACTAGAAACGTGCCTTTTGGAAAAGAGGGAGAGGGGAGGAACTGACATTTCGGAAGCCACTTACCCAGCCCGCCGGGCTTCCCAGCATCTCGCCTTCCAAGTCCGAAATGCTCCCTGCAACGCCCTCAGGTGGAAAAGGTACTCCAACGTGGCTTCTCCGTTCCTTTGGGGCCACCTTGCTCCAGCTGGGCCCCTCGGGGCCCCTGGAGCATTTGGAGATGAACAGCTTGGCCGGGCTTCCTCCGCAAGTCGCCCCGGGAAAGGGAGAAGGGGGGAAAGGTCCGAGACGTTGTTGGGCGACTCACCGCAGGAGCTCCGCCGTTTCCCGGCCAGCAGCGCGGCCAACGTCCCCTTAGCCTTTTCCCTGGCTTGCACCATTAGGGACCACTGCTGGAAACATGCCCTCAGGGATTTGGCCCGCCGGCGCGCCAGACCCACCTCGCTTTGCCGCTGGCGCTGGACCACTCTCTTCCACCCGTTCAAGCATCTTGGAAAGACCACCGGAGGAAGGAATCAAAGACGGGGAAGGGAAGGACCGATCTGTGGATCAGGACCCCATTTTGGGGAAGCACCTTCATCCCGGGGGGGTGGCTGGACAGCATCTCCCATAAGCCTCGGTTTGGCCACCATTTCTGGACCGTTCCCGCCCTCCTGCCGGGCTCTCCATCCCATTAAACCACGCTGGTGCTTCGTTGGGCATCGCCCAGGGTGTCAGCCGCCAGCCCAGCCAACAGCTCATGCAAACAAACCACGGTTAAAACGTGAACCCGGTTCCAATGCCGGTCAAAGGCAAAGGGGACCCGAGAGCGGAGCGGCCAACGATCGGGTTTGAGAAACACCGCCCTGATACCAACGCGGCCCTCAACGCCCACCGTGAAAACAGCAGAGCCGAGGAACGAACGGGGAGCGACGTTTGAAGGCGCCCGCCTCGTCCTCATCCTCGTCGCGCGGTTTAGCCTTACGATGGCAGCATCTCACCGCCCAATCAGCCTGCCCTGGATCCGGGATGCCAGCAGCCGAATCTGCTGGTTTTCCGGGCCGTGGGAACGCCACCGCCTGAAAGCCTCTCCCAACGTCTTCTTTTCCAGCAGGACACAAACCGCTGGGAGGGGAGCCCCCTCTTCTGCCAATGTCTCTTCCTGAAGGTGCCACGGCCTGCCAGCCGCTGCGGGAAAGAGAGAGAAGACTCGCTGGAGGGGGGAGAGGCTTCTGCGGTTCACCGCCACCCCAATGCCCCTCTGAGCCTGGTGCTCTCCACAGGGGCTGGACGACCACCCCACCACCCTGGGCCAGCCCAGTGTACAGTCTAGCAAAAGGGAGACCCGGCTGCTGCCCGCCCCGCAAGATTGTTGTGATGCTAACGTACCTCCTTGAGAAAACAGGCTCAGAGGAAGAGCGAGCCTCTAAGTGAAATTCAGACAAATATCGATCGACCCATCACCCCAAACTCCCCGGCACCTTTGCGGAGCGTCTGAGCGAGCAACGGGTCGCTGCTTTACCAGCCAGCCGCCGCTGCCAATCCTGAACTTCTTCCTTCTCCTGGCTCAGCTCCCTTCCTTCCTCCCTGCCACGCAGCTGCGCCCACCGAAGACGTTCGGCCCTGCAAACAAGCCATCGGCTGCAGAAATTAGCCAGCTTCTGCAAACCCAAGGGACGGCAAGCAAGACAGAGGTTTCTGCTCCAGATCAGAAAGGGAATTCCAGGGAGGGATTCACCGGCAGGACCCGGGAGGGGGCCGATGATCATGACGGAGCCTCCTTTGCAGGGGGCTGCGCCAGTTCAGAGCGACCGGCTTCTTCAATCGGTTTACCTTTTTGAAATGCGTGCCTGTGTGTGTGTGTAAGTGTGCATTTAGGCACGAGCACAAAGGCTCACTTCACAGGACACGCTAGCCAACTTTTCCCTAGTTTGCCATCCGTGCAACGTCTTGCAAAGGTTGGAACTCCCGATTTACGGCTTAGCAGGTCACGCAAATTAGGATATGCCAACGAATCACGGTTAAAACCGCAGCTTAACACAATGGCTTAAGCCAGGCATAGATAAACCCTGCTTAAGTTTTGCACCTGTTCTTTCACTAGGCAACCAGCGTGCAAAGTCGAGAATCTTATCCTCGGTGGACTAAAATCTTTGGCTGGCCATTGCTCAGAAATCTCGCGCTGTGCTTCATCGAGGGGGAAAATGATCTTTGTTTGCCGAAAAAGGAAGGCGTTCCCACTTCAGCTTTGCACACCTGCAGAACTGGAGACACCCAGGAGACGGTTGGTGCAAGGCAGGTGGTTTTTTTGCACACTTTCTTCCCAGAAGGCCGGCTTTCCCACCAGTCAGGGCTCCAGACTCCTCCGAACCAGGCCTCCCTCGCTGCTTCGCTGCAGCGTCCTGCCACTAACAAAACATCGGGTTTTACTGGCGCGGGCAAATCCGTCTCTCCAAATCAGAGCTGAAATTCCATCACGCCAGCTGGAACATCTTGACTGCACACCTAACCACGAGAGATGCCGCCGAGCCTCCACCATTACCCCATTTCCATTCCCCCTCCTTTTCCCATCTTTTATTTTAGTTCCTAAACCTGAAGACAGAGGCTTCTCCTCTTGCAAGGAAGGAAGGCTTCTCCTTGTAAGGAAGTTTTAAAAGTGTTTTCCTACAAAGCAGCTTTGGGGCTTTTGGGGGGAAAAATTGCAAAGAGGTGCTCTTTTCTTTCCCTGGTTTTCCTTTAATTGGGATTTCAAAGGAATTGAACCCGAGATTTTGGCTTGCAAAACCCCTGTTCTGTTTCCCGGGCAGAGGCCACCCCGGGCACCCTGCCCGCCTGCCCCATTAGGTCTCCCGTCTCTTACCCTCCAGAAACTGCCAGCAAGGACCCCCAAGGTGTGATGTTTTTGTGCGGCTTCTCTTTGCACGCTCCTGAGTTGCACTGCCCATTGCAAGGCACCAACACCCTTGTGCAAGAGATGGTGCTCGTGTAAGGCCTGAGCGGCGTCTCTCTTCCCAAAGATGTGGCTGTGCCAGGCCACGAAACATTTTGCCAGCAGGGGGTGGCTCCTGTGAGGCATACATTTCCAGCAAAAAAGGAGAGAAATCTTAGTGTACTCCTCTAATATAGCCATGGGGTTTGGTCCTGGTCTTGTTCCCCAAAGTGTTTCCTCCCAGTCCAAACCAGCCTCTTACCCGTCTCTCCTTTCCACTGACTTGACGTCATCTTCCAGGTTCTGCAAAGAAAAACACAGTCCACACGCTTTCTCAAACCAGCCCCCCCTTTCTGTCCTGAGAAGAAAGGCAGAGCATCTAAGGAAGCCAGAATGGGATTGTGCAAAATTGATTAAAAAACAAAAAACGGATTGCACGTCATTTGCTTGGGGGAGTCACTGCCTCCAGACAGGTGCCCTGGCTGTGGGCCAAGACTTAATCTACATCGTTAAATGCGATGAGGAACGTAAAACAAAAATAATGCAGGGGAAAAGGGAAAATTAGAATGAGAGATCCTGTTCTTCCTGGGAATGAGTTTCCTTTTTTAAGGCAATAGTTAAAGAATTGTGCATCGTGGAATTGCAAGGTCGGGAGAGACCTTAGTTCAGGTCTCTGTTGAGTCCTGGATGCAAATGAAGCCTCTCTCACAGACGGCCCCCCAAGGCTGCTTAAACATCTCCACTCACCTCTTCCATGAGAGCCGTCCCGTCATCTCCCGCTTGACAGGCTGCAGGGTCAACCCCATCGCTGGCCCTTCCTGCAGAAGGGACTTGACTTTGATTCCTCTGACCAGCCAAACTCACATTCTCCCTTCTCCCGGTAAGATTCATATCCGGCTGGTCAGTGCTGTTGGCGGGCTGGAAACATTTTCTGGGGCCCTTCCGGATGGCTTCCCCAAAGGGGTTGACCTTCTGACGGGCTGTAAACAGTCCGACCTCATCAAAGGAGGATAGGGTGATGGGGACTCCACCAGCTTTCCCATGGTCCTCCCCAGCTTCAAGGTCTCCAATGCCCTTACCAAATGGGTGAAATAATGGGACCTCTGGGTCTCCAGAAGGATGGATGGTTGGTGGCTCTTCCTCTTCTTCTTCCATGGACAACCCTTTGTTCAGAGAAGGTTCTGCACACAACGTCTCAAGGGAGCTCTCCAAACCCTTGAAGGAGAAGACATCCAGTGGAAGGTCCTTGAGATACATCTCAGAGCCATAGAAGGCTCCAGAAGGAAGTTCTTCTGGGTCAAGTGTCCTCAGATAGCCCTGGGCCCTTAATTCACCCAACGTAGCCTTTTTGCTTGTAGCTGGCTGCCTTCCAAAGCTGCTCTTGAAACAGGAGATGGAAGAACTGGAATAACCTCCCTGACATGCCAACAAGGTGGACCTCAGTGTGGTTCGCCATTTATTTCTCCTTTGTCCCCAGCAGCTCCCTTTCACCGAAGCCTCCAGGACCTTTCGCACAGCCAAGGTTGAGATCTGTGGCTCGCGTGGCAGCCAATGAAGTCGGGAAGATGACGGAGATTCGCAAGGGAAGGACCCACCGGCCTCCGTTGAAGTGGCTTCCTTCTTAAGCCCCTGGAAGGACCTTTGCAGATCAGCAGAGCTTTGAGAAGACCCTACGAGAGTCTGAGATCCTGCAGGAGAAGAACGACCATCAACCGAAGTAGAAGAGTTCAGACAGTCCAAGGTAAGGGCCGGACCTGGAGGGGAGGAGTCACTGATTCCACTGAAGGTCATAGGAAGAGGACAACTCTTCATTGGGGAGTCTAGACGTGGAACCACTGAAGACTGGGTGGGCGAGGAGGACTCTCTACTAGCCTTGAGGTCCTCATAGCTTCTTTTCGACACAGAGAAAAGCCCATGCCGTCGTTTCAGCAAGTCCTGATCTCTGTTTTCCATTCTGGACGTAGCCCTGGGAACGTCACGGCGTCTGTCTGGGAAGCCAGTTCGGGGGGTCCTTTTCAACCCGGCTTGGAGGGTCCCACCTTCCCATCTTCTCCTCTGCAGCTTGGAGCCAAGGTTGCTTTGCTGCTGGGGCAAAGCGTCTTTTGCGGGGCCCCAGCGAGATCCGGAAGGGCAAAGGAGATTGGTCTGAAACCGGCCACAGGCTTCTCTTCTCGCAGGGGCGGCTCGTAAGCGGCTTTGAGCGTTTTCTCCAGTGGGGTTTGACCCACGGACGTCGGAGCCGGTCTGGGGCCAGAACGCTCGGATACGGCTTCCCGCGGCTGGGAAGAGATTAACGCTGACGTTTTTCTGGATATGTCTCTGCTCTGGAGAGGAGGAGAAAAACAGAAATCCATCACGGTCCCAAAGGTGTGAGTCAAGGAGATTTATCCTACACCCTCTTCCCTTAGTGGCTCTTCCTTACCCAGCCCCTGCAAAAGGGCTCTGTTTCCCAAGAATTAGGGTTAATTATGAACGTGACGCGACACTCCAAAAGGCAAGCCGTAATGTCTACATCAGTGTTTGGGGACTTTAAGATGGGTGGACTTCAACTCGCAGAATCCCCCAGCCAGCCAAAGACAGCCACAACACGGAAGGGGGCTTTCGTTTAACCTAGCGCTCCTTTCCGACAGAGAGAAGTGGAGCTTCCATGTTCAGAGGCAATCTACCCCAAACCCCCACACGCAAGAAAGGAAAGCTGCTTCTAGGGTGGGCTTGGAAAAAACCCTCGGGAAGAACAAGATGGAACGTGTTAAAAAGCGGTTTGCCTTCGAAGGCAACGTCTAATTATGTCCCAAGCCCTCACCGCTAAATCTTCGGGCAACCACAGCTTACCTCTTGGGGTCACGTAGCAACTTAAAGCCGGGGGTATGTTCTCTTTCCTCGCAGCGGTTTGGATCCTTTGGGGAAACTCCATCTCTGGGTCGAAGCGTGGCCTGAACCACAGAAAGGCCAACCTCGCAGCCTTGGTGGTTGCAAGGCGGTTCTGGCGAGGCGGGAGGTCAGGAAGGAGAATTGCAAGCTGTAGCAACGGGCACCCTCCCTCTCTGCAAAGGGGGTACAGCTAGGGAGGCAAACAGCATTAACGTTCCAGGCGCCTCCTCGCCAGCCATGAGGACTAGAAACTTGGGTGCGTGATTTCTCCACGTGTAAATTAACGCACAGGTTTTCACGGCTATTTCAGCATTCTCTATGGGCACCAGCCTCTCCCAGCTCGCTGCCCTCCAGATATTTTGCACTACGGCACCCATCATCCCTAGCCATATCGGCGAGGGATAATCCACACGGAAACCCATCGTATTTTAAAGGCGCTGGGCCGCCTCTCCCTCGTTTTTAAAACGAAAGAAGAGTTTACGCCACGCTGGCAAGCCTGGTAGGTGAGTCATAAAGAAATATTTGCAAAATATTGGGGTTGTATCTGGGGACACTGACACAATCCCCCCCACCTCCGAAAGGAGGAACGAAAGGAAACGATTTCAGGCCACCGCAGAGGCCCTAGAAAAAAAATACTTCGTGCCCTTTATTTAATCCAATCGTACTTCCTTTAAGGAAGTTGTTTCTTCCCAGTTGACTTTGAACTCACGGATCGCTTTGCAAAATAAATAAATAAAAGTAGATGTATGGTATATTCTTCTTCTTCTTCGACTGTCTTCTTATAGATTCAGTATTAGATACATATAAAAATAATACCGCGGATTTGTTTGGAGGGAGGCGAGCAATACGCGGAAGCGCAACGAACAGCTAACACGACCGACTAAACGACTTTAAGGACATTTGCAAAGGGCGCACCGGGGGGGG